GGGAGCACCGAAGTGGTGCTCAAGACGACAAAATTGATCCAGCAGGTTTGTAGTAGACTGCAGACTGCGCAGAGTCGGCAGAAGAGTTACGCTGACAAAAGGCATTCAGACTTGGATTTTCAGGCGGGTGATAAGGTCCTCCTGAAGGTATCACCCTGGAAGGGTGTCATTCGGTTCCGAAAGAGGGGCAAGTTGGGCCCCAGGTTCATTGGTCCTTTTAGGGTTTTGGCCCGGGTGGGTCGGGCCGCCTATCGATTGGATCTTCCAACAGAGCTTAGCCAGATCCACAACACTTTTCATGTTTCTCAGTTGAGAAAGTATTTGGTTGACGAGTCAGTACTTGTACCCTTGGAGGATATTTAGGTTGATAGAAACCCTAATTATATCGAGAGACCAGTTGCGATCTTAGATCGAAAGGCGAAGACCATGAGGAACAAGGTGGTTCAGTTGGTGAAGGTGCAGTGGTAGCACCGGAGGGGTTCAGAGTGGACATGGGAGGTGGAGGAGGAGATGAGGGAGCACTACCCACAGTTGTTTCTGGAGACAGCAGACTTCGAGGACGAAGTCTAAGATAAGTCGGGGAGAATTGTAACGCCGCATTCCTGGTACGTATTTATTTTGAGTAAATGTTTCTTTCGGAAGAGCTACTCGGCGAGTTGTAGCCCTAACTCGCCGAGTAGATGTCGAGTTGGATGCGGGCTTTAAGTGATCTACTCGGCGAGTCCACGCCTGGACTCTACGAGTTGGCCAATCAGGAGGAGACCCTAATCCTTAGGGTTTTCACGCTATTTAAACGTCCTTATAGCCCCATCTCAGCCTCCATCACCCTCAGAGCATTCCTTATCGAAACCCTAGCCTCCATTGGTAAGTTTGAGTGATTGTTGCCTTGTGAAGGGACTTTTGGTGCACATTGGAGCAAGTGGAAGAAGGGAGAGGTTGAAGAGGTCAAGGAGGGGAACTTATATTCAGAACACATTCGTTTGTGGTCATCCATTCTGGTAATAAAGTTTCCATCTTGATTATTGATCTATTAGATCTTTTTTGTCCATAAATTGTTGCCTTTAAACCCTAAAACCCCAAATCCTTGTAGAGAAACCTTATGGTTGGGTTATACTTCAAATCTGGACTCTCGTTACCTTCTAGAAGTGTTAAGTTTCAGTCATATTGTTGATTAAGGTCCCTCTTGAGCTTTGATCCCCATTAAGAGCTTAGTTTGGACATTTAAAGCCCCTAAAGCCATGCATGCACGTAAAGTTTGCAACTCTATCTCATAAGCCTGCCCTAGAAGCCTAGTTCTGTGGTTTGGAGCCGCTGCATGGCTCAAATCAGGTCCGTATGAAAAAAGGATAAATGAACTCGACGAGTAGAACTTTGGACTCGGCGAGTCCTATGAAGATAGCCGTAGACTCGGCGAGTTGGATTAGCAACTTGGCGAGTCCGATGAAGATTGCCTTAGAACTCGACGAGTTGTTCTTCAACTCGGCGAGTCGGATGAACTTGGACTTAGTATGTGTGCATCGAAGAAGAACGCGTCGAGTCTTCGCTAAGCTCGACGAGTAGAACGGGTATAAAACTAGAACATATGGAAGGGACTCGGTGAGTTGGCTTGCCAACTCGGCGAGTCCTGTCAACCAGGAAGTTGACTTTGACCAGGGGGTAAAATAGTCATTTTACCCTAAGATTAGTTATCGGTATCTGACTTAGTGTTTATGGAAATTGTAGCTGGGGAGTTCCGGTTCAGCACTCAGGCGCTCAGCAAGCAGACTTTCAGCAGCTACTTCGAGGTGAGTTACCTTCTAGTAGTAGTGGGTCTAAGGCCACAATGTCGACCCACTAGTAGGAATCGTATGATTAGATGATTTTCTCTGTGATATTCATCTAGGGTTGCCACTACCTGTGTTATGTTTATGTGTTTGTACGATATGATGCTATGTGCTAGCGATAGTAGGGGAGATAGTCCCCAGGTTACCGGTTGATAGGGCCGAAGGGGAAGTCATGACCAGCCATGCTAAATAGATTATGTGATACGTGTTATCTGGTAGTGGTAGGGGTGAAATAGTCCCCAATATCCGGTTGAAAGGACCGAAGGGGAGACCAACACCCAGATATGCTAGTCAGTATCCGGTCGAAAGGACCGAAGGGGAGACCGGCACCCAGATATGCTAGTCAGTATCCGGTCGAGAGGACTGAAGGGGAGACCGACACCCAGATATGCTAGTCAGTATCCGGTCGAGAGTACCGAAGGGGTAGGTCGGGCACCTAGATACGCCTGACAATATTTGTATGTTATGTGGTTATATGGTATGCGGTACGATGGGGGAACTCACTAAGCTCCGTGCTTACAGTTTTTAGTTGTTGTTTCAGGTTCCTCTTCCGCAAAAGGGAAGAAGCTGGCGCGGTAGCGGCATATCACACACAAGCTCTTGTTTTTCCGCACTATGAGACACTCTGGGATTTATACTCTGATATTATTATGATTTACGTTCTGGTTTACAAACGCGAGACATGTTTTATTAAATGATATGGTCGAATGATATTTTGTTACAAACGTTTTGCAAAGTTGAAAATTTATGGGGATTTCAGATATAAGTTAAAAGTTGTTGATTGATTGCTATTAGTTGGTTGAAAGTTGAAAAGTTATGGGGATTTCAGATGAATATGATGCAACTATATATGACATATCTTATGTGACATCCCCATTTTCACGGCCAGAAAAGATTGGTTTTGTTTATGTTTTATAAAAATCAAAGTGCCTCTTTTAATAAAAATGTTGTGGAATTTGTTCCCAGTAAAACATGATAAATACGTTTTCAAAGCATATATGAAGAAAAGTATTTTTATTGATTTTAAAACATTTGGGATGTCATCATCAATACTAAACCTCAGAAAAAATACATATCACAGGTACTAATTTTGAAGTTTTGTCTAAAAATTTTAATTTAAAGATTATGGTATTAATAAAAAAAATGTTAGAAACTAAAACTATATAATTATAAACATTTATATAAAATTAATTAGTTTCAACAAAAAAAAAAAAAAAGTGAAAATAGAAAATTTTAATTGTGTCGAGTAAAAAAAAAGAAGTTTGCCGTCGCATATATTGACACATTATCAATTTATCAATAGTAAGATATGATTATTAAAATTTTTTAATATTTTTCCTATGTGATTTGATTAATAGTGGTTTTCAGAGGCGGAAGCGGAACTAAGAAGGGGTTAGGAGGGGCTATGACCCCTTATTTTTTGTGTTCTAAATACCATTTATTAAAATGTGAAAAAATCCCCCCCCCCCCCCCCCCCCCCACCAACACACACAAAAAAGAAAAAAAAACTATACCTTACATTTTAGGAAACTTATCAATTAGAAAACCAAATTGATTAGGAAACTTATTAAAAAGAAAACTAATTTAACTAGGAAATTACATAAATTAACTCTATAACATAGTAAAAACCAAATTATCGATTCAAATCTTCATAACGAAAGAAAACCTAAATTAGGTTGTAGCTGCATCGATGAACCTTTGATACCACTGAAATCAGAAGATTTGGGCTAAATCTTCTTGGATTTGGAAAATACGCCTTCCACTGAGTCACGAAACATATATGCGTGTTCTTTCTCCTCTTTAGCCCCTTCTTACTCTTATTCTCTCTCTAAGGAGTCGTCGGAATGAACCGATCTTTCTCTCTCTCGCTGCCTTCTTACTCTCATTCCCTCCTCTCCGAGATCCAGTAAGAAGAGTGCTTTAGTATCATCGGATTAAACTGGTTTGTTGGATGAAGGTTTGCACTCCATCTTTCTCTCTCTTTCAAAGTTGTCACCCTCATTTCTCTCACAATCATTTGAATATAATTGATTTTATATAACCCTCATTTCTCTCACAGTCATTTGAATATAATTGATTTTATATATTGAAGATTGACTAGTAGTCTTGGTAACAGAGAAAGTTAGAAAAAAATGAACCTACAAAAATAAAAATATATGATAAAATGTTGTATTTGTTAGTTTTTAGTTTGTTATATCTTATATTATTCTTTAGTATGTAAAAGTAATTTTGAATTTCATCATTTTGGAGTTTACTAATTATTAGTAAATATTGTTAAGTAGTGTGTATTAAAATGGAAAAAAATGTAAATTTAAAATTAGAATAAAATATATTTGTATAAGATTTTTTTTAACTTAAATGAAAAAACGATTTATTATTGATAGATTTTTTCTTTAAAAAATATAAGTTCTTAAGATACCAACGAGCTAATGAACATTTAACAACTTTATAGATAAAAAGTTTAGAAGTTTGGTTTCGGCCCCCCTCCTTCCAATGTTTGTGTTCCGCCCCTCCCCTGGTGGTTTCGACCACCTTATATGGCTTTCAACCGTGGTATACATAGAATCTGATGGTTTTGACCACCTTATATGACTTTCAACCAGGGTATAGATAGAATGGTTATAGATAGAATCTGGTGGTTTTGACCACCTTATATGGCTTTCAACCAGGGTATAGATAGAATCCCCATGAAGGAGTCACTCCTTACCTTTACCTCTAGGATAAAGGATATTTTTGATTGTTCAACTATGATTAAACAAGCATGATAACGAAACCTAAAAAAAATATAGCACAATCAAAATTGCCATGAAAGCAAAGTGGGGTTTTCAATAAAAATGAATAATATCTAAATTAGGCCTAATAAGATAGTAAATGTGTTTTCAGATATATCTTGAATAATACATACATACACACATATTATTATTATTATTATTATTATTATTATTATTATTATTATTATTATGTAGTTGTCTTCAACAGAAATTCGTTCATGTGCAATGAGTCAATAATGAGATGCGGAAATATGTTTGTATTTTATTGACTATTCACCTTATCGATCACTTTAACTGTTCTTTTTCCAACCCTACAACACTATAAATACAACCATCTTCACTCATATTTCATTACAACTAAACTCATCGTCTTCTTACGTATTCTTTTTTCAGCATATAATTCGTAATGGCTGTGGTAACTGTAGAGCTAGAAGTCACTTCTTCACTTCCTGCTCCCAAACTTTTCAAAGTCTATAATGACTTCGACACAATTGCACCTAAGGTTGAACCAGAAACTTACAAATCCGTCAGCACCATCCAAGGTGATGGCGGTGCTGGAACCATCAAGAGCATTACATACGGTGATGGTAAGTAATTGCACCATCAAATTAATAAATAACTTTTGGATTTTTTTACTTAGATTTTTATAACTTCATGTCAATAATTTTCTACCAAATAATTTTAACTTGAAACTTATCATAGGTATTCCATTCACAAGCTCAAAGCACAAGGTTGATGTCGTTGACACAAACAACTTTAGCTACAGCTATACCATCTTTGAAGGTGATGTCTTAATGGGCATAGTGATCTGCTCATCATCATATAAAGTTTTTACCTTCTAGTGATGGTGGATCCGTATACAAGCACACAATGCAAAGGGGATAATAAAGGTATCCGAAGATAATATTAACCTTATGAAAGAAGGATTGAAAAAGAGCTTTAAGGGATTTGAAGCCTATGCCATTGCTCATCCTGAAGCTTACTAATTCATATGGGATCAACATGTTTTGCTTCAATAAGTCATACTGTGGTTAGTGTGTGCTCATGATAAAAGAAGAAATTGTTTTCCCAGTGTTTTCTTTTACTTTTTACCTTCACCTAAATAAATTGATGTCTAATCCGTTTGTATTGTCGTTGTAATCGGTGTCCGTTTGAGATAACATTAAATGAGCAAATACCACGAGTTCGTTTATTATGTTTGATTTCTCGAATAATTATTCTCATCCTTACACTAAAGTGTATCACCATTCACCACAGCTTTTGAGATGATATACATATGTCCTTTAGAATGGAGTTCATTATCGTCGTTCTATATCTTTAACATATAATGTACATAACTATATATATTAGATGAAAACGACATTCTGATAAAGCATGATCCTTAATTAGTAATATAAAAAAGTTGATTAGAAGTATAATGATAAATGCCCAAGCTTATTTAGGATTCCAAAAAAGGGTATAAAACTGTGATTAAAATGTGAACACAAGAAAAGAATAGTGCTTTTAAAGTGGACAAAGGTTGTGTGTAAAAGTAAGTATCATTTACGACTGTTGTGGTAATAGTATCCTGGCAAATGCCCTATCACTAAAAGCTCTTTTGCTACAACAAATGATTAATTCATTTAAAAGACAAAAATTCATATCTAATAGTAAATAATAATTTTAAAAATATAACTGTTTTTAGAGATCTCTATGATCATTGGAAATCATTAAATATTTTTATAAAAATTGATACTTGCATGCATAATGTATCAAAAATCAAATGAAAATATTTTATGGATTATCAATTCATATGAGAAGTCATTGTTCAAGTCTTGGTGAAGACATATATGATTATTTGTGAGTAGATTGGTTACATTGTCATATAAAAAAACTTTTAGCATTAATATTTCGTAGCAAAAGCCATATATTCATGAAAATTTTCAATGTAGTAATTAGTGACCGCTGGTTTATTGGTGTATCTTGTCATAGTCACTTAAGTTAGTTTGTTTAATGTTAGCTTAATCATAGTTATTTAAGTTAGTTGGATGTTAGGTAAATCCATTTTGTATATATTATATACAACTCTTCATTCTAAGTAATAATGAAAAAATCTTTACCAAATCTATAGTCTTCTACATGGTATTAGAGCAATAACAGTTGATTCGATCATCTTTTCATATATTTTTCATTCATAGAACAATTATTGTTCTTTAATCTATTCAATCTAAAATGGCTACTCGGCCTGCTTCATCTAACAGTTCTTCTGGATCTATCAAAATTTATAATGCTCTGAAGTCTGATCTTAGGACCTTTTGATAATCTTAGCACAGTTCTTCTATCAAAGGTTTTTAAATTTGATGGAACTGGCTTCTCTATGTGGAAAAGATCTATGATTATCACACTTTTAGCTAAAAACAAATTTGGATTCGTTGACAGATCGTAGAGAAACCAAATAACAGATCTGAAATGGTTCACCATTGGAACATAGTTAATTCAATGGTTATTAGTTGGCTGCTGAATTCACTATCTAAACAAATAGTCAAATACATGAGAGTTTTCTTTTCTTACAAACAAAATAGGAAGTTTGGTAGGAATCAAATCATATAATTTCTCTTAGTATTTCACCAAAATAAAAAGAATGTGGTACGACCTTAAGATGATACATGAAATTCCAAATTGTTCACGTGGATCTGCATCAAAAATTAAGAAATTCCTAGAAGAACAGATTGATTTCTTCGCTTATGGGACTTAATAATTTGCATAAAGCAATAAGGGAAGAAATATTGATGATGACTCCATTTGTTAGCATTGACACAATTCATTCTCTTCTTATCCATGAAGAAAAGAAACATGAAATCTTAACTAATCCTAAGGTTGTTGTTGAAGAAATGACAATGAATGTTGACAACACATCCAAGTAAAACATCTATTGTTCTCAATGCAAGAAATCAGAGCATGGTAACTCTCAATGCTATAGACTGATTGGAACCCTACATATTTCAAGTCCACCAAGCCGAAGAAGGTTCAATCCACATTTCACAATGTTTTTATAATAGTTAATCTATAACCCATGAACAATACAAGCAACTGATGCAATTATTGAACAACAACAACAACAACAACAACAACGGATATGCAAGTTTTGATTATGTAATCACTTATGGTATTATGTATACTGCATGTAATTACATTGACTCTTCTGGTGAACATGTATCTTACATTTTCAATGTTATTGATGATTCTAGTCAAGAATCGACATGATAGATTATATATTCCGGGGCAACAACAGATCATATATGTTCCATTAAGTCAATGTTTTCTTCACTAATGGATTTTACAAGACCTCATTTGATTGGATTGCCTAATGCTCAATCCATACATGTCTCAGAAAGCAGAAGTGTTCCCAATCATAACACTATCATGTTACATCAGTTCATATATGTTACCAAATTCAAACACAATCTTATCTTTATTGCTAAATTACTTCATAATTTAAGTTTTAGGTAATTTTTACCGATGTGTTTTGCTCCATGCAGGCCCCTTTATCGAGGAGTAGATTCATTATTTTAAAAATGAGAGAAAATCTTTACATTGGGGATTACAAGATCTTGAAGAATCCTTATTTATTAGATTATTCTCTTAATATTTTTTCAATCGTGTACTAAAAATGATGTTTCTAATCTGTGGCATAAAAGACTACGAAATCTTCCCCTTTATAAGATAAAATTATATCTTTAGTAACTAAGTATTGTATTAGTATTAATTTTGATTCGTGTATTATCTGTTATGAATGAAGACAACACAACTTTTCATTTACAAATAGTGAAATCATATCATCCAATCCATTTGATCTAGTGAATGCTAATGTTTGGGGTCTATAAAAATTCCCTACTCATAATGGTTTTAGATACTTTTTAACTCTTTTGGATGATCATACAAGATGTACTTGGGTGCATTTATTTAAGAATAAGAGTAATGATTTTATTCTTATACAAGCTTTTGTGAAGTGTATTCAAAACCAATTCAATATAACTCTCAAGGCTATTCGCACAAATAATGCTTTTGAACTTGGAAAAAGTAATAAAGGAGTTCATTTCTTTCAAACTCAAGGAATTTTTCATCTAAAATCATGTCCTCATACTCCATAACAAAATGGGTTGTTAAAAAGAAGCATAAACATATCCTTGAAGTATCAAGAGCATTATTTATTCAATCTGGAATAAGCAAATCTTGCTGGGGAGAATGTGTTTTAATAGTTACATATCTCATCAATCATATTCCTAAAAAGTATTAAACATCAATTTTCCTTAAGAAGCATTGTCCAAGCAGACACCAAACTTGTCAATGTTAAGATATTTTGGTTGTCTTTGTTATGTATCCACTATTGCTAGTAACATGGATAAATGCACGCCATAAAAGATCCATGCATACCCCTAAAAAAAAAACTTGGTACTATAATTTTTTTAGAAAAAAATTGTTTTATATAGTGAATATATACATAATATTAATATGTTAAGAAAATTAATAACACAAGTTGTAGTTGGTTAAGATGGTTAAGGTGTTAGGGAATGTTTTTGGAGGTTATAAGTTCAAATCTTTTTTCCAACATTTATTTTCTTTTATATTACGAAGCTATGAAAATTAAATATAAGTATTGAATTATCCAAGTGGTAAATCATTGAACTTTTAAGTGTTAGGTCCCTATTTCGAATCTTGGCCCTTACATAGGTGTATTTTATTTTGTTTATCAAAATTTTAACTTGTTTTTTAAAATTCTAAAATTGTCCCACTTCGGCCATAACATGAAACATTGCTCATATACATCTGTTATATAAGCAATACAACTTTCTCAATTTTGAACAAGTTAAACTTTTGAATGAGTTTGAGTTTAATCTGAAACTGAGTTTGGAAAACCGAGAAACCGAACCCATCAATTTGGGATACCCCTCTAGTTTGATCCTCGCCCCGCCATTGGATGGTATCTGCCCAGTTGATTACTATTCATATGTATGTTCCGTTTTAATTGTATACATAATGAATGATATATATATATATATATATATATATATATATATATATATATATATATATATATATATATATATATGTAGATGGAAATATTACAGTTTAACAGCTAAACAAAAAAAATATTATTGTAATAATATAAATACATATTATTGTAATAATATCATATGTACAAGATGATACAACATACTATTATCCTTTATTGTAAAGGTTGGTCTTAAAATTTTATTGTTCGCAATGTAAAATTAGAAATTTGTTTGTAAAATAAGCATCGGGAATACCAATGGATGTAAATATTGTTGCTAATTATAAATGGAATTTTGTAGGAAATGTGTTGAAAAAAAGTTGTGTCGATTATTTGTTGGTAAACAGATATGTTGTAAATATTTTGGTTCGTAGTTGCTCATAAATTGTCACACAGAGCCATCTAGTAAGAAGAGAAATGTTCGGTCGGGCTTCTCCAGCATCGGTCTTTAGTGGGCATAGAGCAATGGACGTCAACACCTATACTGAGCCAACATTTATGATGTTGAAATTAGATAACGGTTTATAAAACGCTTATTGTTGAATAAATTATAGTAGGATGATGTACGTGAAACACTAAATAGAGTATCTAATATGAATCAATACGTATACGTCTTGTAATTGTAATGAGCTTTTCCAATACTATGTGGTAATTACTAATCTAGCCAAATCAAGAGGTAATTAGCAATTTTTAGCCAAAAATTAGTAAATGACCAAAAATAGTCAACAAAACCGTAGGTTTCGAGATTCGCCTACTGTTTGCCATTTTGTATATTATTTCGCGTTTTCTATAAAAAAAATCATTTTTGCC